CCTAAAACCTAAGCCCTAAACCCTACGCCATGTCGTGATTTCAGGCGGCTGCCCGCCGGTCCCTGCCAAGGCCGGGAAAGGAAAACCAGCTAAATGTCGGGAGTTTCCGAAAATTAGGGGTACCTCGGTTTAGGGTTTAGGGTTTAGGGTTTAGTTTCCGAAAATTAGGGTACCTTATTTTGGGGGTCCTTATAATAAGGATCCTATTATTTAGGGTACTATATTAGGGTCCCCTATTTTCGGAAACTCCCATCGAGAATGTCTAGGGGTTCTTCCTTCGCTTGTTTTTAGAATTGGTGAAATCGATGTTTTGGCGGTTTTTGTAAAGAAAAATGGAAGGGTTGCTCCAAATTATGGGTAGCTTTTTTTTGAAGAGGGGGCCTTCATAACATTTTGCAAGGATCCAGTACGCTCGTGGTCTATGTTAAGGTTCATTTCTGGGGCTTGCGACTGAGGGGTTTGAGCCCTACAGCGCAAGCTGGTTTTGTTAAGACACAAAACTTGCGGAATCCAAGCAGGTATGTGGTGAAGATTTTGCAACATGGTTTCTTGGGGCAGTACGAACCATCAGTCATATTGTAGTGTGAGCTGTCAGAAGCTCTATAATACAAGTTATGAGATAGTTTAAGGTATAAACTACGTCAGACATACTTCTGTGTCCAGTGTCGTTCTTTTAGGTGCCGAAGGGTTTGTCCCTCCTCGCCTACACCCTCCGCCCAGGGCACGGCCAAGAACTTAAAGTCACAGTAGGATTAGACGGGATTAGGGCTTCGGGGCCTCGCAGAAGAAGGCGTGGATCAAGTCGGCAATTTTGAAGTCTAGGTGTGTTCGGGTGTGTTATTCTAGAATTTCATGCGTATGTCATGAAACTTGAGCTGAACCCTGTGACATCGACAGAGCTTAGGGAAGCCTCAGTTAAAGCCCCAACATCCTAAAAGCCCGAGCCCCAAAACATAAACTCTAGTCTCAAGACCTAGGCCGTAAAGCACTAGACCCCGAAGTCAAAGGCCCGAACCCTCTTTCGGAAGACTTGGGCTCAAGTCCAGAGTCCGCTCGCTAGGCTGACAGCGGCGATGCCCAGCCTGGGGTGGCGGGGACCCCAAGGTTTGGGGTTTTGGGGTTTCGGGTTTTTCTGGCGCAGATCCAAATACTGAACGCTTAGATCCTGGACCTTACACCCTAAATCCTCAGGCTTCAGCACATCTAAACCCCGAAAGAACTCCATCACCTAAAGCCGAAGCTCGGTTCAGGTCGAGGACTCGGCGTAAGCTTTGGAGTTGAGGGGTTTAGCACTTCGCTCGTTTGGGGGTTCAAGTTAAGGTTCGACCTACCCCAAACCCTGGACCCTAAACCCTGACTTGGGCCTGAAGGCTTGGATTTAGGGCTTTTTTTTGGCCTGCCTTCATTGCTGGACAGTAGAGTTCGCGATCAATAGCCTCGACAGGTGGTGGTGGCGGCGGTGGTGGTGGTGGTGGAAGCAGTGGCGGCGGCGGTGGCGGCGGCGGTGGTAGTGGTCATGGTCGTCGTGGCAAGTGGTAGTGGTAGTGGTTGTGGCAGTCGTAGACAGTACTACTAGTACAAGTAGTCGCAGGTGCAGGTGCCACGAAGCCTGGTTGAAATCCCTCACGCAAGGTCTGCTGCCTGCTGCGCCCTACGGCAGGTCAGAGCTCCGAGGTCCAACAGGAGCCCAGCGACGAGAATTCAGGCTCAGCTACCCAGGGGCTGCTGAAATTCGGAGGGGGGGGTGGTTTGGGTTTAGGGTTTAGGGTTTCAGTGCTGTAAAGGTTTCGATTTCTCTTTCAGGGCCTGTTCAGGGATCCTTTGAGTCGGGTGCCCTGTTTTAGCCCAGGCGCCCTTGGCTTCCCTGACTCCCTGAACAGGACAGTTCCGTTTCTTATTGCCTATGAACTGCGGCTAGATTGACATAGCGTGTAGATTACAAGCGGAACACTCGCTACCTAAGATCTTTTTTTTTTTTATCGTAGCGCTTGCAACCTGGTTTGCCAAGTGGCATGCGCCTGCGAGCAGGCCTCAATCCTAAACTCCTATAGCCCAAACCCGGCACCGCAAAGCTCTGAACCTTAATAAAGGGTCCTAAATAATTACAAGGGTTCCTTATTATAGTTATACTATAAAGGGCCTCAAAGCCCTGTTCTAATTATTAAGGCCCCTACATTAGCTACCTTTCATCCTAAAGCCTGAATCCTGAGCCGTTTGTGATCTACCCGATCCCTCGATTCTTGCACTGCGCCACTGATTTAGGGTTTAGGGCTTTGCATTCCTACACTCTACTTTTCGCATTCTTACACTCTACTTTTGGTCCTTCAAACACTGTAAGGGTTTTGCAGTCATTTTCCTTGAGTTCTTGGTGTCTTTAAGAAATTCATGGGGGAGTTGGGGCTGGGGACGAGAAGGTAAGGAGAACACCCCGTGCCTTGGTACGGCTGCTTGTGCTCAGTGGGCTTGTGGTAGCGGGTCTGTGGGTGTCGTGGCTTGGTACTGGCTGTTTCCCTTTTCTACCGTTAAGCCACTCCCAACACTTCCCGCTCTCGGCGCAACGCCCGCGCCTAAAGCGTAAGCCCTGAGCTCCAAATGCACAAACCCTACAACCCCAATCACTAAACCCCGAAAGCCCTGACCGATAACTCTGCAGCACTTGACCACCACACAGGCACACGCAACCCCACAAGGCTTAACTTGGCACCTGAGCCGTAGCTGAACTTGTAGAAGAACGTAATCTCATAATTCTATTACCTCTTATACACATACATTCAGACATGGGGGTTTCCGAAAATAGGGGGGGTACCTTATTCTGGGGTCCTTATAATAAGGATCCTACTATTTAGGGTACTATATTGGGGTCCCTATTTTCGGAAGCCCCCACATAAGTACATGTTAGGCACGGAAGTTAAGAGCCACGATGCAGGTGACCCGGCACAGCAGCAGAGCCAGGAGGTCCAGCAGCCCAACAGGAGCAGGCGCGGGTTGAGGGCTGGGTGTTTTGATATAGGGTCTAAAAATTATTACCAGTACTATTTTTGGGGGCTCCTTAGTATAATTATGGTATAATGGGCCCCAAAACCCTATTCTAATTATTAAGGGCCCCTACATTAGGGCTTTAGGAGGGCTTTAGGGGCCAGCTTTTAGGGGGTTGATGGGGCTTTAGCGTGGTTTCAAGTTTGCTGCGGTGTTTTGTTTTTAGGCTTCCGGGTTTCAATGTTTAGGCTCAGGGCTTGTAGGGTCGGAGCTTTTGACTTCAAGACTTAGTGGTCAGAGCTTTGGGATTTAGGGTTTCAAGGACTAGGTTTAGGGTTTAGGGTTTAGGGGTTTGAGGCTGGGGGCTTTCAGAGGGGGGAAGGTAAGGGTGGTGGAGCTTAGGGTTCATAGTTTACGATGCGGATTTCAGCTTTACTGCTATTAGGAATTATGTTTTACTTTTCTTATGAAATAGTTCCAGGGGATTAATAAGAATGGTATTTTTATTCTGGTTCGACTAAGTCGGACAGTTGGGATTTATGGGTTTTGGTTTGGGCGATGGTTAGGTTCCGTTTACCCTAGAAAGGAATTGGACCCGAGACTGACAGGTCGTGGAGCAGAATTTCTTTCGGATCAGGAACATGGGTAATTCTCCAAATTGGTCCCTTTTAGGGTTCTTTTATGAGCTTTTGAGAACTACCCACATACCGTGAACCAGTCGAGTTGGGTTCAGAAAGCAAACGAGCTGGTAAAGTCTCGAAGAGGCCGAGAGGAGGACATACAGTTGTCGGATTACTAGCCATGCAGTCGCCTTAAGGTCCTCATATTTAGCTAAAACCTCCAAACCTAATCCCAATCATTCCGGCCCCTATATAACTATACCCCCAAGCCCTATTGTAATTTTCAGGCCCCCCCTTTTGGTAACCTTTGTAGAACCCTGGGACAAGGAACCCTTAAAGGATCCCTTAAAGGAACCCTTAAAGGAACCCTTAAGGTACGGGATACCTTAAAGAGGAACCCTTAAAGGAGGAGCCTAGCTTCGCCCCGAGTGCGACACAGGCGCCAGCTTTGTGCCCTGCTGCCGCCGATACGCTTCAAGGCCTTTGCCCAAACTGTGGGGCCTCAATGAATGCCTTAGTAATTAGGGCTTAGGGCTTAGGGTTTAGGGTTTAGGGCTTAGGGTTTGAGGCTTGGGGTTTTGGGGCCTCAGTGAACGTCTTAATATGTCTTAATAACTAGGTTTTAGGGTTTGGGGTTTTGGGGCCTTGATAAGTAGAGTAGCGTTGGTTGTAGAAGCATTCTGAAAGATCTTATAGGGGCCTTGAGAGTTTGAGTAGGATTTGGGTTTATGATAAGAATCATGTATGGACTATGCTTATGCGGGAATATGATTATTGGTGGTTCAGACCGCCAAAGTATAGTAAATGCATCATGGCGGTGTGACACGAAATGCAGGCGAGGTTACGTCGAAGGAAACATGGAGAGCGGGCCCTGCCAAACCTTGCAAGAACATCGAACGTTTGTCGGCTGAGCGAGCTAGAGCGAGCGAGAGAGAGAGAGAGAGAGAGAGAGAGAGAGAGACTAGGGCGAGAGAGCCAGTGTGGTTCGAGAGAGAGACGGATGAAAGAAACGCAAAACATGGACGGTTCAGCGAGCTAGCAGCGAGCAAAGGTGGGAGGGCGGGAAGGGGCAAGACAGCGGACTGGGTTGGAGGTCTGGCATGTGAGTAATGACTGTTATTCGAAACCCCCAGTCCTGACACAGATAAACGAGTTGCCGCTTTAAGGCCGCATGGCCTACTGCTGCACCCTGACCAATATGGAGGCCTTAAATACTTGCCTATACTATTTTGGGGGCTCCGTATTATAACTATGATATCATAGACCCCCAAACCCTATTCTAATTATTAAGGCCCCTATATTAACTCAGAACCAGTCCGTCGTCGGCAGGTTCGCGACGTGGTGATTTGGGGCTCTCCCACCGTCAGCGCAGACCCCGGCATGCGCACAGCCTGGGGTTTGGAGCACTGGAGTCGAAGCGAACCCTGAAAGGGAGCCCTGCAGAAACCCCTGAAGGAACCCGCAAGAAAGCTTTGAAAGACCCTTAAATGGAACCTTGAAGCCCTGAAGATGTCAAGGAAGTCTTACAGGAACTTTTAAGTTGAAGGGCCCTCCAAGAACTTAAAGGAACCGTGAAAGGAACCCTTAAAAAGCCCATAGAGGAACCCTGCAACAAAACATTTTTTAAGACCCTCACAGGAACCCCTAAAGCCCACCCAAAAGGAACCCCAAGACCCGCAAAGGAAGCTGTAAAAATACCCTGAACGTACCCTGTAATGAAACCTAAAGGTAACCCCGAAACACATCAAAGAACCCTTATGAAACCCTTACAGTAACCCACGTCACACTTTCCTGGAACCCCTATGACAGCACTTCAAGTAACTTTCATAAGAACCCCAAAGGGGAAGCCTTCAGCGAAGGTTTAGGGGAACCCATAAAGGAACCCGTATAACACCCTGAACGCTTAAAGGTAGCCCAGAAAACGAACCCCTAAAGGACTCCTCGAACTTCTATGAGGCCCTTAATAGAACCTACAAACCTTTCAGGATCTCTGTGATAGTAACCCTGGCAGAAGCCATGAAAGGACTCCCAAACCCTAGAACCCAACACCACTAAACCATCCTCAACCCCAAACCCGTATAGTGTCCCTTCAAAACAAAAGCCGTGTTACTACAGGGTTTAGGGTTCAGGGTGTAGGGTATAAGGGGTGCTGTGCCACAGCCTCTATGAGGCTGGCCTTACATCCGGCCGCCCGACTGGAAGCCACCGACCAGCCTGGCAGCCCCCTCAGAGATCCGACTTGCTCTATAAGGGCTCTACGGGTTCTATAAGGGTTGCTGTAAGGCTGTTATTTGGTTTTGGTATGAGTCCCTTAATTCGGGTTAGAAGTTGGTCTAACTGTAACTTGCTTAGAGCCCTGCTACCTACGTCTCCTTGTCCTGAGGCTCCAGGGATTTGGAAGTTGCTAAAAGTATAGGGTTTGGTTTTACAAGGTTTGTAGTCGTTGACTGGTTTTTTCAGGTATGCTTATCAGGAGGTGATCTGGTTTTGCAAGGTTGTCGTTAGGGTGGGTGGTTGATTCTTACGTAAGGTATTGCTAGGATACTTAAACCCTAAACCCTGAACCCTAAACCCTAAACCCTATAGGGCTTACAGGTTATATCAAGGCTTATTAGGGTTTGTTGGTTTTTACAATCATATAGGGGCCTTAGTTAATAATTAGAATAGGCTTTTGGGGCCCATTATACTATAGTTGTAATAAGGAATCCCCCAAAAGATAGTATTGGTAATTATTTTAGGCTTACATCAAGGGCGCCCATTATACTATAATTGTAATACGGAATCCCCAAAATAGCATTGGTAATTATTTAGGCCTACATCAAGGGCTTTGTAGCCGTCTAGGGTGTAGGGCTGGGGGCCCTGAAAACCTGAAAGCCCCGAGCGCGTCCCAGAACATCTTAGGGTTTAGGGGTTTACGGGGGGGTTAGGGTCCAGGGTTTGGGTTTAGGG